GGTTGATGGCCATTCTGTAATTATGTCACTTTGCTTCTCGATTTGTTTCCTTGAGTCAAATCTTCCTTTTAATCTGAGTTCTATTGCTTTATCATCTTTTCTTTAAATTATTATTTTGTTTCATCTGTATTCTTTGACTTATATATTCCTTTGCACTTTCTCATTTGATTTGATCCTTGAAATAACACTGAAGAATAGGTACTATTATGATTCCCATTTTATAGGTAAAGAAATGGACTCCCAGGAAATTATGCATCTTGGCCACAGGTCACAGCTAGTAAATGGAGGATCCAAACTAGCAACCGAGGCCTTCACCTCCAAAATGCTTGCTGTTTTCATGCTTTGAGACAGACTATAATTAGATGCTATATTGTATAGTACAGCCTCTAAGACTAATTCAGCTTCTAAACTGAACAGGAATAAATAAACAACACATCTACAGTACATGTAACTTATTGAAAACCCTCCTAAATGAGGCAAGAACAGCAGCATACCAGGTAGAATTACTGCCCTGATCTCTCTTGGCACTTATCCTGGTACCTAAAAGGACGAATTCTGCTGCTACCACCTAAAGTGTGTATGTGTATGTGTACGTGTATGTGTATGCATATGTGTACGTGTATGTGTGTGTTTTAAGCAGCTGATATAAGTGATAGTACTATTGACATAGATTTTAGAAACCCAATTTAATAACAAGGGAACAGGATTAAAACAAGAATATGATGTGGGTTTGCTTGGGCCTCGATGATGTCTGAGAAGAGCCTTTATTTGGAATATCCCTCCATCCTGAGCTCTTAGAAAAGGACCAGGTCACACAGGGTAAACCTGTGCAGCAATTAATGTGGTGGATTGCAGAACCTTGCCCTGTGTTAGCGGACTTTTCTAGCACTTGGAGGGGCATAGTGAAGTTCAATTATTCCTGGAAAGGATATCTCTCCTGAGTTACAGTTTTAGAAGAATGGCAATGAAATGATAGGCTACCCAAAGATAATCTATACTGAGACTGTTGTAAACTGAAGATGAGGGGAGGCAGCAAGACTGACTCAAAGAACAGTCATGCATCTAGACTTAGCTGCCCTTCTGTATTAGAGCGATTGCTGGTTGAATTTATGTCCTATTTTCCAATATCTTTATCAAGGAATTGTAATCAAACCTAAGATAATCAAATAATTATTTTCATTGTTTCCTAAAGATTGATCTAGGGAGATGCATATAGATCCAGTGGTGAAAAAAACCTGCAAAGCATTCTAATAAGTTTGGATGTCTTTAATTTAACCAAACCAAGAGTTTTCTTTTCTGTAGAATTCCTCAAAGCTATTAATATGCTAATGCACTCTGAATTTGTAAGAGGGATATGTATTACAAAGAAGTTCTAAGTTATTTGATCATGAAACCCTTGTATTCATGGACTCCTGGAACATATTTCAAGAAATTTTGCTTTCTTCTAATCATAAAATATTCAAACTAGAAGATGCCTCAAAACAACTCCAGTTTTAAACCCTAATTTTACAAGAAGGGAAACTAAAATTTAGAGACTTTAAGTGACTTCCCCAAGGTCACATAGCTCTTTGGTGATAAAGGTAGAACTAGAATTTTTAATCTTCTGATTCCTGATCTTGTGTGAAACTGATCAAAAATAGATTAAGTCACAAGATGCAATGACCTGAAGGCAGGCCTGTTTGCTCCCTTCCAGGCATGTGATATGTCCTTCTTTGCCAGTGAGAATAATGAGACCTAAAATTATTTCCTGTGGACCCAAAATTGTACTTCTGACAGCTCATGAAATCCTCTCTCTGAAACCTTATTACATCTCTGCTCTCCCTAAAGATTCAAGAGTCTAGGGGTATCCTCTCTAAATTCTGCATATAAGGCCTACATCACAGATATTCACCTGAGTATCTTACTATATTGTGCCCTCCAGCTACACTTAGAGAACAGCTCCCCTTCCAGCATCCTGTTGCAAGTTGAGGGGTCTGTGGAAAGAGGCAATTTTATATACTGAGGTTACCTGGACAGCCTCAGACCCCATAAGCAGAATTTAGAGAGGGCTTGAAATTTAGAAAAGGGACCACCTTTCCGGTAAGCAGTGGGGCAGTGTATATCAAAAACCCTTACCAGCTTCATACCCTTCAACTTTGAAGGAAATAGCAGAAAGTGTATTTTCAGATTTAATTGCATTAGTATTTGTCAATATACTATTTTAATAGAAATTTGAAATAACAGTATCCAATAATAGGAGATATCAAATAAATCAATACACATCTATTAAATACTATATAGCCAATAAATTTATGTTATAGAACCATTCATGGAAAGATGTCTAGAACAGAGCTTCCCAACCAGTTTGCTGGGTATTGAGATTTTGATGTCCTTTGTGCTCATGGCAGGTAGTCAGGGTCTAGTGTGGCCAGAGTCCCCTCTGAAATGTCTCAAAATGCAAGCAGGCTCTTCTTTCACCCAAATGTACCATAAAATTACTTTGTTTTTAAAAATGTGTGCCATGATGTAAAAGTGTTCAGAAAACTGATCTAAAACATATTGCTGGGAAAAAATTATGAAGTATTATTACATTGAGATTTGAGATATACTCCAATGTCTGATTGAAAACATACCTTGCCTATATCTGGAATACTAGTAATTTTTATGTTTTTGTTTATTTGCATTTCTCTTTTTAAGTAAAAAGTTGTTTGTTTTGTTTTGTTTTTTTGACAGAGTCTCACTCTGTCACCTAGGCTGGAGTGCAGTGGCACAGTCTCAGCTCACTACCTCCCTCCCGAGTTCAAGGGATCCTCCCACCTCAGCCTCCTCAGTAGCTAATTACAGGCATGCTCCACCACGTCCGACTAACTTTTTAAACTTATTTTGTATTTGTAGTAGAGACGAGTTTTACCATGTTAGCCAGGCTGGTCTCAAACTCCTGACCTCAAGTGATCTGCCCACCTCAGCTTCCCAAAGTGCTGGGATTACAGGCATGAACCACCACACCTGGCCCAAAGTATTATTTAATAAGAATAATATAATAATTTTAATGCTTACATAGCTCTTAATATATTTTATTTGGTTTGATCCTCAAACAAACTTATGAAGTAGTTACTGCCATCGTTTTCATTATATAAATATCATTTTTTAAGTCCATATTTGAAGCTAGTAGGAACTGGACAAGTTGATGCTGGCAAAAGAAGGCAGAAATAAAATATATCTGAAAGGTAGAAATAAGAAAATGTAATAACTAATTACCTGTGGGAACTAAGTACACCTCCAGGACATTGGGGATTGTGGTATTGATGACCAAAACAGAATCATAGAAATGCAATATTTTACAAAGATTTTAAAGGCAAACTCAGGGAATGATTAATGTTCAAGAAGCAACTGAGTTTTGCTGTTTACTTGTTATTTAGGAGGTGCGAAATTCACTGGTGAAAATGTCCAAGTTATTGTTGAAACTCAGCTGAGAGGACGAAACCAAAGATGTAGTTTGGATAGTCGTTCACAATGGAGCCACAGTCAAAGCTGTGCAGGAGAATTGATTCTCCTGGCAAGAATGTAGAGAGAAAAGCAGGACACCAAAAGCTCGAACCTTTAGTCATTGTCTCTGCAGAACTCCCAGGGACTTGACTTCTATGTGTGGAATGATGATAGAGTCATTGGCAATGGATGAATATTGACAATGTATGACATGTTCAAACAGTTTTCTTTATTATTCCTCCATAGATTAGAGATTACTTGATTTTAACAAACAAAGACATTTTGTATGCTCACAGAGCATGTGTTGGTGAGCAGCACCCTAGAAGACAGGATTAATGTGAAAGGTATCCTAGCCATTTGAAGAAGTGATCAGAAATTAAGAAGGTGCCACTGAATTATAACAAGTGCATAGTACATTGCACTTAGGATGGGCAAAGGGATCAAGCTACAAAAATACAAAATGGAAGGACTCTGACAGGCTGTACATACAATGAGGAAAAATCTACAAGTCTCAGAGAGGAACAACTTGAAAAGGAATGTGCTGTATATATTTATGCTGGCAAATATAAAATGTTTATTAGAAAATATGTTTTCAGGCAGTAGAAAGACATAATAATTCAATCACCTTGTCATATTTGGCATTCAGAAGAAATACATTAGAAACATAGTAAATGTATTTCTCTTCAGGGTGCCTCTTTTGAAAGAGTTTAAGTTTATTAAATAAAATATAAAGGACATCAAAGAAAATTAATACATGACTGTAAAAACATACACCTAAAGAAAGGTCAATAATCATGGTATTTATTTTTGACATCAAAAGACCAAGGAAAAATTTAATAAGGATCAAGATCATTGGCCTGTGTGCAGTGGCTCACATCTGTAATCCTAGCACTCTGGGAGGCTGAGGTGGCAGGATCACTCGAGCCCAGGAGGTCGAGGCTGCATAGAGCCATGATCACACCACTGCACTCCACTCTGGGCTACAAACTGAGACCCTATCTCAAAACTAAGCAAAACAAAAAAGATCATTAATCTGTGGAAGATCATTGTACAGAGGTGTTTGGCATCTCTATTGCAAGTAGAACAATAGGAAATAAACTGAAGCCATGAATTTTAATAAATCCCCCTATATATATATAAATATATAAATGTATAAATATATATAAATATATAAATATAAATATGTATATATACACACACACACATACACAGACCACACATACTGGCATATATACACATATATGTGTATGTTTGTGTAGAGTCTAGAAGAGAATGCATCAAAATATTAATAGTTATTATTAGGATTGTAGGTGTTTTATTTGTTTTATATCTGTATCTTTTCCAAAATTATATATATTAAACATGCAATTTTTGTGTAGTGAGACAAATGAGTTATTTTTCTTTAAAAGTATTTCTAGAAACAAATGTTACTTCTTTCTCCTTCCTGTCACATTCTCAGCCCTTAATCGATAAAACTCATTTTTCATAAGATCGTGAATAACAACAGTTCTGGCACCCCATTTTATCTTTTTCAGATGCTAGTGAAAAACAATCACCTTTCAGGCAAGATCATTGTTTTGCCAGGAAAAATTGAAGACATCTCACTTCCTGAGGCTGTAGATGTGATCATTTCCGAACCAATGGGATACATGCTGTTCAATGAACGGATGCTAGAGAGTTATCTTCATTCCAAAAAATGGCTAAAATCAAATGGTAAGTTGGCCCATTCTTGGTTTAAAAAACAGTCTGACTTCTCTGTAAAAGCATTTCTATTATACTCAATTATTTGTTTTTTTCATCTCATTTTTCCATAACAAATTAACTAGTCTCCAATCATAAGAACACAGGTATGCTTCACAGTATTCAACGTGGTATAGAGAGCCAGGTCTGAGTTTTGTGTTTTTTGTCCTAGTTCAATCCCTTCGTTCCTTAATGAACTTGGGCTAACACTTGACCATTTGGCTTTGGTTTCCTCATCTGTAAAATGATATTATTACACATAATCTCTGATATCCTTTCAAGTGTTGGCCTTCTATAATGTGAGGAACTCTCTGGGGTCTGCTTGTTCTTTTTGACATGTTTTTTTCCCTACTGTATTTCTCTCTCTGTCTATGATCACTACACATAGTCAAGATAATATTAAATCCAATATGCTTTTTGTGCTTTCCAAGTGCCAATTTGAATAAATTATTTTATAAAATCCTTATAAAGTCTGAATGATGAAGGTTTTCAATTTATTCGGGGGGTTAGCCTTGAAGCTAATTTTGCAACCTTCCCCAGGGACATTTGACAATGTCTGGAGACACTTTGGTTGTCACAATGGCAGCAGGGGCTGGGGTATTGGCATCTAGTGAATAGGGGCAAAGATGCTGTGAAGCATCCTTTGATGCACAGGACAGTCCCCTGCATCAAAGAATTATCAGCCCAAAATGTCAATAGTATATGATTGAGACCTGGGTTAGCGGAGGGCATTGTTATGATCCCATTTTATAAAGAGAAAACTGAGACTCAATGAGGAAAAGTAACTTGGCAAGAACAGACATCTAACAATTGGCAGGCCAAGAATTTGAGCCTACATCCATCTGACCCTGAAGCCTACACTCATGACTTTGGCGCACACACTGGCTTTCCACTCTTCACCAGAGAAAGTAGACGCATTCCAACAGCAGGTGTTTTCAATTAAGACATCGGGGCTAACTGGCCAATTTTAAGTTGCATCTTATGAGAATTTCAGCTCCTTACCCCAATTGTATTTATCTAAATTACCAATGTTGTAGCTCCCTATCTTGCTATTCAATGAAAACAAAATAGTGAACGACTGTGCAACTCATACGTACCAACATGCATTTAAGTGAAGTTTGAAGTTTATAATTTCCTACATGCTTCAAAATTCAGAAATAGGCACTGAAAGAAAATTCATGTATAAATAAATAAATAAGCTCAGGCAAAGTATACCTGATGTCAAGAACTTCATTAGCAATCTTGCTGTAAAACAGCTCAGGATGCTCTTGGAAGCCTTGTGTGTATGCGATAAAATTGAACTGTGGGAGATGAAAGTGAAGGTACAAAGTGGCTTGGATTTCCTCCTCAATGCCCCCAGGAAGAATTTGTATGGTTTTTTCCTGGACTTTTTCAGATGGTTAGGTGCTTCTATATGATGAGATTTATAATGTAGTTAATTAACATGTATCACCTGAGCCCCTCTTAAGCTCAGTATTTAGATAGTATCTAGGTATCTTCCCTGGATATTTGAAATGAATATCACATTTTATACTGGGCTATATATCTTTAACTAGGCAAGTAGAAATGAATTTTATTGGCTTTCTAGGCTATGTCTTCCTCAGGGAAGGGTGATTGATTTTTTTTTCTAATTATTTATATATTCCATCATAATAAGACATAGTTTAAAACATCAATTAATAATAAAAAGGCTTATAATGAAAAATAGTAGTCTTCTGCCACACCTCTTTCTATCGTCAGACTGCTCCCCAAAGGCAACTGCTTTCAACTCTATCTGTTGTTTCTTCTATTATTTACCTACATATTCCTATCTAAGATGATTACATTGCTATTCTCGTCACTCTCTGCTTGAGAATTCAGCTTTCCTGAATAGCAGCTCCTTCCTTCCTGATGCACCTACCCCACCCCTATCCTCTCAATGTATTTAGATAGGTCCTCAGTTCCTTTATCCCAACCCTTAGGGCCAGATATGTTACAGAATTCAGCATCTGAAGGACTTTTGAAAGTTAATATGATCACATACCATGTACTACTTAATTCTCCCAGTGGGATCTGAGGCAACACTCTGTAATGAAACACATTATATTCCTGCAACAAAACATAAGAATATTGATACCAAGAATAAATGAAGACTACAAATAAACTCTCGTGTTAGTTCAGGTCAGGTTTTGCCATCAAATGATGCTGCCGCAAACTTATAAAAATCTGTTGCTTTTCAGATCTCAGAATTTAGCATAAAGAAATATAGGCCTAGATCATTATTCAGTTAAATCAAGAATCAGCGTTTACAGTGTTATGATGTAATGTAACTATTGTTGAATACTGAGTCAGATGGTAGAGTAGATGCTGTATACTTATGTATGTTTTCTCATATAATCTTTTGTTTTTCCCCGGAGTTAATTGTCTTGGTTTCTTTTATTAGCTTAGCTTTTATATATTCATGGTTAAGTGTTTCTACGCTCCAATAGATCTGACAGATGCCATCAATATGTGTTCCTCTGTTGCTCCCCTCTATTCAGTAGTCCTCTGGCCTTCTCTAGCAACATGAACTGAGTGTTCTGCAGCCCCATTGCATGACAGCCACACTTTGACTTTCCATCATCATCCTTTTGTCTTCCTCTTTGTCGGTTTACGACATCATTTCAGCAAAGGATATTCTCTACCAGCTTCTGCAGAAAAGGAGCTTGAGGAGTTACTTTTTATCAAGTCCTTGTGCTATTATTTGGTCAAGAATTTTACTTAAAAACAATTTTTAATCAATATTTTTAAAGCTTGTGTTTTGGTTTTTGTGTTTGGTTTCTGTCTGCAAATCTTGCTATTGAGAAGTCAATGCCATTCTGACTCCTGCTCCTTTAGAGTAACAAAGTTTTCCCCTCTAGCTGCTTTTAGTATCTTCTTTTTATTTCTAGTGTTCTAGTGAGAATCTTTTTTAAGTTCCTGTGCTGGAAATTTAGTGAATATGTTTAATCAGGAGGCTGATTTTCTTCTGTTCTTAGAATTTTCAAAATATTTTACATTTGATTTTCTCCCCTCCATTTTATCTGACATTCTTGGAATTCCTATTAGATTCAGGCTCATAACATCATCCTCTAATCTTCCCAAGTTTACACAAGCAGCGATACATATTACTTTTCTGAGGTTATTTAATATCCTTCTATCATCTCGAAATTGAAAAACCACCAAGCAATCATTATTGTTTTGATACCCATGCCTGAGATTTAGATGGGGACATATGAATGAGGTTATGATCATGCTTTGCCCCTGACCACTTCTGAAAATACCCCAAATAAAATAACCTGTTTTAACAGATATGAAAAGCCACATAGTTTAAGGATGGGGCACTGACTATCAGATGAGATTCCACTCCCCGGATTTTGCTCTGCTATCTGTTAACTCTATGATACCAAGTAACTTAAATTTCTCTGTTTTCCTGTTTATAAAATGGACATAATAATAGAACCCACTTTATCTTGGTATGAGAATTATATAAATTAATGCATGGGAAACCCTTGGAAAAGTACATGAGAGGGTCATCATAACTGAGAAATTTTAGCTATTTTTGTTGTTTTTATGACAGCGTCTCTGGTGTCTTAAGTCAGCCTTATTTCTGAAATATAGTTAATAGTTCCTCTTTCTTTCGTGTGCAATTTAATAAATGGCTATAAAAAGATTTTCCCTAAAATTGCAAGAGTAACAATGCTGATCATCAGGTCTGCCTACTCAGAAAGGCCCAACTTCAGGCATGCCAATCTAGGTGCTCATTTGCCCACTGAAAAATCTACCTTTCCTGTAGTGATTGTGGATGCCAAGAAATAGTACAAATGTGTATTTCCCAGCATGAAGATTGGCGAGCATCCATATAAACATAAATCCCAAAAGCACCTAAGAAGACAGGTGGTCGATCTGATTCTACATGGACAAAGTCTGAGAATGAGAATAATAATGTGATGGGAGGATGGGATTTTGATTATTTTTAAAGCTAAATTATTGTTACAATAAATAAGAGAATAAATAAATTAAATAAATAAATAAATAAATAAATAAATAAATAAATAAATCCAGAATTCATAGGACAAACAGAAAGGGGAAAAAAAGCCAGTAACTGAGAAGGCAACTGCCAGGTTGAAAGGCTTGCCTAAGTCTCTGCAAGCTTTTATCATTGTATTGCTTTGTGACTTGCTTTGATACTCTTTTCTATAGCCCTTCTACTCTTCTGCCTAATTTTGTATACTTGCATTGAGACAAAATTATATTTTGTCCTGTCATCTCATAACTGAAGCAAAAGAATGGAATTGGTCTCAGGTGGCAGATGAGTACAGCCTTCAATCAGAAAGCGACAGAAGCTGACTTCTGGGTCTCTTGTGTTTTGCTCATCAGGAATGATGCTCCCAACATTCAGCGACATCCACTTGGCCCCTTTTTCTGATGAACAGCCCTATGTGGAACACTTCTCCAGAGCCAATTTTTGGTAATGTTCTTTTTTCCTTCCTTCCTTTCCCTTCAAAGGAAACCAGAGTTTTTAAAACTATTGCTATTTGGGGTCATATGAGTGTTGTTGGGTAGGGGGAGGCGGGGCGGCGGCAGTGAGGCATCTATCCTGTACACTGTAGAATGTTTAGCGGCATCCCTGGTCTCTACCTATTAGATGTTAGTCACATCTTCCCCCCAGAGTTGTGACAACCACAAATGCCCTCCAGACATTGCCAAATGTCCCCTTGCAGGATCGCCACCAGTTGAGACCACAACTCATAAATCAGAGACAGGTGAATCAAGGAGCTGTTCATGCAATATCAAACATCCAAAAAGCTATCCTACTGCTAAAACAACATCCTCCCCTGCCTGCTGCCGTTCTCTTCCCATTTTTCACCATCCACTTCTTTGATTCTTGGCTATGGTTTCTGTTAGGACTTGACTTTGACAGAGAACATATCAATCAGTACACCTGATAAATGAGTTGATCAAACCTTTATGGAGTTTTAATTGGCAGTTGGCTTTTGGGCCCACTTCACCCCTCTGAGATTGAGTTTCTTTATGTGTAAAATGGGAACTGATACAAAAGCTCCTGCCAGTTTTAAACCACCATTGCTTCTGGGATTCCTTTCTGAGAACTAGTTTTTACAAGAAGAAGGAAGGAAGGAGCATGGGAGGGAGAAAGAGAGCAGATATCATCTGTGTTGGAATGTTACATGTGTGGGAGCACAGGCATGTCCTGCAGGAGGTTCAGGATCCTCAAATTTAGGGTTTGACTTTGGTCTGAGGTATACAGGGCCTTATAATACAAAGAGGTCCAAAGTTGATTTCTGGGTTTTTCTCTTTGTAATCCTAGAGAAGGGGCAGCAAATAGGAAGTACTTTGGTTTCCAGGGCTACTAAGCTCTTTGAGGAGTAGGGTCAAATGGCTAATTTTTCTTTCCATTTTTTTTTGGCAAAATAGGCTTTCCTAGCACAGATTCAGAGCATTTTGTGGTTTTGTCGAATCTGCAATTCTGAGATTCTAAGCCACAAGCTTTCCCATGGGGGTGAATGGCTTCTTGGTGTATACACGTGTCGGGTGGGGCAGGGGAATGGTCAGGGAGCTTTTACCTTAATGATCATTGCTCTGTGAGATTATGCTGACCCTAAATGATTACATTTTTATTATAACCTCCTGAGGAAATGCAGAGATGAAAGGGTTATGAATTTTAAGCAGCAGAATAGACCAGACCAATGAACTAGAGGTTTGTCGTCCAGGCGGTCCTTGTGTGACCTTCCAAGCATACCATCTGCTGCCATCTTACTAACTTGAGGATATTAATGATCACAGCGGTTTGGCTCAGTTTTCCACCACATACCAACATGCTGCTATTTGTTGCATCTAAAAATGAAAAACAGAAACAAAAAATGAAAACATCATCTTCTCTAGATGTTGCTTTCCCAGTCAGCCATGGCCAACTCTCTAAGCCCCTTTCAGCAAAATTCCTCCGAAGGGTTGTCTATACTCAGTGTCCAACTCCCCCCTTCTATTTCTCACTGGAGCCATTTCTCCAAAACCACTCTTTTTGAGGTCAGCAGTGCCCTGACCTCCACATTGCTAATGCCAGTGATCAACTCTCACTTCTCAACTTATCTAATTTACTGGCATCATTTGAAACACTCTTTTTGCTTCATGATCTTTTGATTTTTCTCCTCCCTTGCTGACACTTTCTCAACCAGCTATCATTATTACTTGTCTTCATAAGCCCCTGGTTTTGAAGTGTCCCAGGATGCAGTGTTTGGACCTCTTCTCTGTGCAGGCTCCCTTGGTGAGCTCACCCATTCTCATAACTACAAATACCATCCATAGGCTAATGGTTCCCAAGTGTCCCTCTCCAGTGCAGACATATCCTCCAAACATGATGTTTTCCTAGTAAACTTCCTCCTGGATGTTCCCTCCTTGCAGAAATTTATCATGTGCAAAATTCAACTTCTGATCTCCCAATTTCTACCCAAAACCTGCTGTACTGGTAGTTTTTCTGTCTCAATTGATAACTTTATCCTCTCCATCATTCAAGCCAAGAACTTTGAAGGCCTCTCTTTCTTTATCTCCTGAATCCAAACCATCAAGTAATTATATTTGTTCTACTTTCAAAATCTATCCAGAATCACACCAATTTTTATTATATTCACTGTTTCCTCTTTTTCTCAACACCATCATCTCTCATCTAGATTACTGCAATAGCTTCTTACCTGTCTGTTCTCAACAGAGTCAAAGCCTCGCAGGAGCTTCTCCATAGTCTGGCTCCCAGTTACTCTCTAGCCTCATTTCCTACTCCCGTGTTCATTTGGGTCCTGCTTCACAGGCCTGTGTGCTGATTCTCAGACACATCAGGCATGCTCCTAAGTTAGGGCCTTTGCGTTTGCAGGGTTTTTTGTGTTTTTTTCCCCCTTTGAATACTTTTTCCTCAATGTTCACATGGTCAATTCCTTTAACTCCATAAAGTCTTTGTCAAATGCTACCTTCTCAATGAGATTTACCCTGACCATCCTATTTTCAATTGCACCCATGCCATGCCCAACCCTTCTTTTTCAATTCTATGTTTTTTCTCTAACACTTACAGCATCCTAAAAGATATATAACCTGTTCCTATTATTATCTATGGTCTGTATCCCTCTTGATAAAATGTAAGCACTGGAAGGTCAGCAATGCTGTTAGTTTCCACTGGATGTATCCCAAGCACCCAGAACACTGCCTGCCACAGGGTAGGCTCTCAGTAAATGTTTCTGAATGAAAAAAAATTCACTATGCCCAAACATGCATGAAAATAATTATTAAGATTTTAGGTGATATAGTTCCAGTTTTTCTATCCTTTCTTTACAAAAACAGAATCAAAAGTACCATTTTATAGCTTGTTTTTTGGTTTTTTTTACTTTCACAATACTTTGTTGACATGTTCTCACATCGTCTACATACATTTGACTGAAGAGTATTTCTTTTGTGACTCATAATTTATTAACTCAGTTTTCAATGTTGAATATTAAATTATTTTAATTGCCATTTTAGTCCTATAGATTCTATAACAAACCACACCAAGGTTTCAATATTCTATAAGAATATAGAATCCTATAGAATTATATATCCTAAATTCTATAAGACACAACACTAAAGTGAACATCCTTTCATATAAATTTTGGTGTACATTCTGATTATTTCCATATGATAAATTGCTAAAAGCAGAATTACTGGACCAAAAAATGTGAAGAAGGAACTTATAAAAAATTATTCTTATATATTGCCAAATTGCCCTCTAGAAAAGTTTTACCAATTAACACTTCCACCAGTGGTATTTGGGAATGTCTGCTAAGTCTTGCCCATACGGGATATGCTTTTTAAAATGCCAATTTGATTTGCAAAAAAAATGGTGGCCAGTTTATTTTTAATCTGTATTTCTTTGATAGCTGGTGCATTTGAACGATTATTTTTAGTCAACAAACACAAAAATATTTTTAAAAATATATAGTTATCAAAATTCACAGCCTTTGCTTTCCTTCTAATTCCTCTCCCTTTGTGAGGTTTCTGCATTAGTCGACTGGCATTTGGGTCTCTTGTTGCTTTGATCCAGGAAACAGGTGGTGAATGCTTGCATGATTTCTGTCAGAAGAAGCAAAGAAGTGGATATGTACGCTGGGGAGTGGTGCAAAAAATAAGTTTGGGTGAGATCTCTCAGCTGAGAGATGAAGGAACAACTAATTGGCTAAACAAGATCATCAGATGCAGTCAGTTTTCAGTCCTCACCTGATTTTCTTATTATCTGCACTTGACACAGTTGACTCTCTCTTTGCTCCACTTCTCAAGCCTGAACCTGTTTTTTCTCCTACCTTTCTGGCCCCTACTTCTCAGTCTCCTTTGCTGATTCTTCCTCATGGCCCAAATCTTTAACATTGGAGTGACTCCAGGTTTCTTTCTTACATGTCTTCCCCTTTCTGTCAACACTCACTGTCTTACTTGATCTCATTCTGTCTCTTGGCTATAAATACCGTCTTTCTGTCTACAACTCGCATAGTTAGAACTCCAGCCCAGACCTCTGCCCAGAACCACAGACTTGGATGTCCAACCGGCTGTTGACAACTACACTTGGATGTCTATTGGGCATCTCAAAATTAACATGCTTAAACGCAAGCTACTGATCCTCACCATCTCCCCACTGCCCACCTTTGCAAAACAAAACACCCCTGTGTCTACTACAGTCTTGGCAATAGCCTTCTAACTTAAATCCTCTTTTTAAACCACAACCATGCTCTTGATGAAACATAATTCAGATTATATTATTTCACTGCATAAAGTCTTTTAGCGACTTCCCTGTTTCTGCATAGTGAAAGCCAAAGTTCTCATAATAGTTGGGAAGACCGTATATGATCTAGATCCTACCCTGCTACCCCTCTGACTCTGTCTCCTGCTACTTCCTCTCTTACTCTCTCTCCCCTCTGGCCTCACTGGCTGGCCTCCTTGCTTCTCCTGGAACAAACCAGGCATGCTCCTGCCTCCCTGACATTCGCTCTGCCCAAAACACAGACAATCCAGTGGCTTTTCTCACCTCCTGCAGGTCTTTGCTCACATGCCACCATCCCAGAGAAACCTTCTATTGATTACAAACTGCAGTCTCTTTCCTCCTGCAAGCCTGTACCACACTTCTCAATTCATTTTTCTCTATAGCACTTATCACCATATACTGTGTTATATGTTTTTACTTATTTATTGTCTATCTCCCCCATGAGACTGCAAGTTCCCTAAGTGTGGCTGCTTCATTTACTTCTATAGCCCTGTCATCTAACCTGGCTAACAGTAGTTGCTGAAGACATTTTTGATGATTAGAAGATGAATGCATTGATTTGTAAAAATTCTGTCTATATTAAGGACATTAAGACTGTTGCATTTTCTTCAGAATTTCCAGCTTGCCTTGTAATTTTATTTGTGATAGTTTTGACCACAAAACAACTTAAACTTTTTATGTAG